TGCTTAGCTGCAGCAAATACCAACACAGCGCTTCTGGCTGTATCATACTGTGATACAAGTGAAGCTGCAGACACCAAAACAAAAAGAGAACAATCTACTGCCCATTTAAGTGGCAGCTGCTCTGGATGACTGCGGTGCTGCCCAGCAAATTACTGAGCAGGCAGAGGCACAATTCCCTGGACCGTGTGTTAATCACCTGCATCCAGAGGGTGAGCACAGAGAGACCCTGCAGTAATGCGTCGTGGGAGCACAGGCTTTAGGCTGTGGTATAATAAATCTCCCTGGCTACAGCCTGATATTGTTTCTTCACCAAAGTTATACCAAATTTGAATAGCAAGAACTGTAAGAGAAGGTAAACAAAACTGAAATGAGAAAGCTAGGTCATGACAGAAGTGATTTTAGGCACAGTTTTCCAAGTATAAAAGGCAGACTAAAGCAGACTCTACTTAGTTAACAGTGGGCATAAATAGAATAACAGAGGCCATCTGACAAAAGCACAAAAGCACAAAAACTGCCAAACATGCGAGTGCATCAGATGTTAATGATGATCAAACCTTACACAACAGATTCTGCAGAAGTCAGTGCCTTCACCCAGCATATGCCCGCGCTCTGTGTTGAACTGCAACCGTCTCCTCTGAGACACTCAGCTTAAAATTAGGATGCAATTGCAGCCACGTTTGAAAGCAGGTTCTAAGTGTCAATAGCTGGTTTCTTATGTGTCCTACAAATTTCTTCAAGGTCCCCACAAGATTGCTTAAGTTCTGGTGGCCCTCAGAGGCAACACTCACAAATCTTAAAATTTGATCAGGATGTGTGTAATTAGTCAATATGGCCTGGTCTACGCAGAAAGCAAATCTGTTTTACATAAACAGCCTTCTCTTAGCAGAGCAGCACAGCAGATAATATCTGAATAAAGCTCTGAGCTTTAAAAATATGGCTGCTTATTTCAGAGCTGAAGTACAAACTCATTTTCTCTCCCAGATGGTAACAATTCTGATGGAGATAATTCAGCGATATCAACTAGCGGGCCTCAAACAGCCAGAACAACCATTTTATATGCTAACACCAAATTTGACAGAACTTAATTTTGCCTAAAACTACTCCTGTGTGTGTTTGCGGTGGTGGGGGCAAGACCTAGAGTGCTTTCTGACCTGGTTTAACTAATGAGCACCATACAACCTTCAGTCAACCCACAGCAAAGACCAGGTTCTTTAGTTCTACCCAAATATGAACTCGATGAGATTGACACAATTCTGCTTTTTGGGGTGAGACTTCCCATGTTTACTTCAATGGACCAATAAAGAGTCCTGTCTTGGCCCAGAGTTTTACCATGGACAGCTGAAATGCATTAGTCACTGCAGATAAAAACTATCAAACAAACAAAAAGTCCACAACTTTTTTTTTTTCCCCATTTAAATCAAAAAGCTAACCCCGACATGAAATTATTCAAGGACTGAGTCCAATTTACCAATACTTCTGAAAATCAGTACAGCTGCCCAGAGTAAGAAGACAGTAAATTCAGCGCTGGAGAACGGCCACCGATTTGAGGAAGGGACAGGAGTAACACTCTCAATAGAAGGCAAATGACCACCATCAGTGGTTTACTAGCCTAGTTTGGACTCTCAATACAAAGCTGCTTTCAGATTTGTGCAACGGTTTGATCGTGCCTGGCAATACTGTGGCAGAGGTCACTGAAGTCTCAATGGTAAAAACACAGAGCAATTTACTGCTTATCTAGCTTGCAACGCTTTTCCATTGTAGCACCTTTAACGAGAACATCAAAACCAGGTAAGTCTCAGTGCACTGTAAATTCGCTGCCAGTTTACTGGGAAGATCCCAAACTGGGTGTTAAAGCAAAATCTTTAGTCTTCCAGGAATCACAGCTAGCTTGAAAACCAATGGCAACTAGGAACAAAACCAGCACCCAGAACATTAAACAGTACACACTGTTCAGTCATAGAAATCCCCAGCCAGTTCTCCTGGGGATGTGTATCTTCTTTTGCTACAATTGATTTTATTTTTTTTTCTGTTATTAAAGGATGCTGATATAAAACCCAGCGGCACACAAAAATAAACACAGGCAGTTGATAAAAACAAGAAGCAGGGCCTTGTGTTTACCACTACACTAGTCAGTCAGCACACACACTAATTACTCAAATGCTGCCCCCCCTTGTATTCCACATGGTATGGTATCACTTTGATATTTAGGAACTCATTCACCTTTACCAGACTTGTAGCTCATCCAAGATTGAGGGATGTTCATCAGACAGACTGTAGGGTAGAAGAGAGAAAAGCAAATGAACTTACATTAGCAGCTATGCTGTTCTTGGTCTTCAAGCTAGTTTACTTACCAAGCCAAGCGACACCTTTCTTTGACAGAGTTGGTCAGGGATGTACCAGGGGCCTTCCTCAGGTAGGTTTCCTATACTCCCACCAAGGATCAGCCCAGCCCCTCAGCTATTGTTAGCATCATGTGTCTCTGATCAGTGGTAAAATAAATCTATTACACCCTTAGATTCCCATGGGCTCTCTGTTGGCATCCACAAGGGACTGTATAGTTCAAGAGTCTACTACTGGTCACAGCAAATTTCCCCAGTAAAACTAAAGTCAGGCTTTGAAGGGAAAGTCATATTTTCCAAAAGACAGCAGCATAAAAATGCAACTCTGACGCCTTTTGATCTGCAGTGTGCTTTGTGAGTAGTGGTGAATCTTTGCCAGAACAATAGGTCTTTAGAGTAGATTAATCCTAGAATATATATGACAAAGGCTTACCTAATATAAACATACCCAAGTATTCATATTATGCTCACAGTCAACCCCTCTGATTTTAAAAGCTTTAAAATCCTTCATGTAATTGAATCGTGCTTGATCCTGAAGAAGCTGTTTTTTTTTTTTTTTTTTTTTTTTTTAACTTAACAGTTTGCATTTTTGTCTGAAAGTTGCTGTTATGAGAATACCTACTCCAGAAGATGGTCCCATGGTGTCAGGTCAGCTTCAGGGAAAACTCTGCCATTTCCCCCTTATCCTATTAGCCCCTGAGGTTAATCTTTTAGGTTTCAAAGAATAACGTTACTCCACCAAGACCTGGCAGTTGCAGGGAGCCCCTCCTCACCAGAGTGCAGGCAGTTCACAGCCAGACACGCCAAACACAACTGATGTTAGAGGTTGGAGACTGGCCAATTTGAGAACATCCAAGGTTCTTTGCAAAGCTGGACATGTCAGTCTGTGGCTGCAGTGATGAAGGGTCATTGTCCCATTTTCTCCTCCTTGCTTTTCCCAATCTTCTATGCCCCCAAAACTGGCTCATCAGAATGAGAGAAGAACTGAAAGATTTGGGGAGCAGAAAATGAAAACTTCACTAATCATTAAATTAAAAGGGGAATCTTGCGATCTACTCCACCCCAGATAGCCTCCTGTTTTCCCAAGATACTTAGTACTTTCATATAGCAGGTTGGTTTTAGTACTCTTTCCATGTGCAATCCCATCAATTAACATCCACATAATTTGCTGCCCCGTGTGGTAGCATCGATCAGGCCTTGTCTTGGAACAATTACTGCTCAGTGCAGTTCAGGGGAGTGCTCCTCCTCTTCAGTGGTCCTCACTGAGAATCCTGAAAAGGCAAAGGATGAAGGAGACAGAGAAACATCAAATAGGCTAGGCTGTATTTACAGATCTTAGTAGATCATGGTTTAAAAATAACCAAGTAGGTTTCTCTGTTGCCTAAATAGCACTCATTCTTTTCACCTTGTAGAAAGTCTAGCATATTGTTTTCATAATCAAGTTATTTGGATATCACAACAGTGATTTAGATTAGGATTTGTTTACGCAGCTAAATATGTTGAGCAATGAAATTAAAATGAGCTCTCTGCTTCTGTCACATCTGCAATAGTAACTGGCTTCTTATGGTTGAGTACAAGTCTGCTGCACAGATGTTTCCTGATAAGGTATAAATCAGTGTTAGATGCTGTTTATTGCAGTGCTTTTACTGCCTTCTTCCCTGAAGGAGGGAACGTTGCCTGCACAGCAACCAGATGTGACCTGCAAGACCGTATGAAATACCATTACAAGCAAAAACAGGTCCCATATTCCATATCAGCATCTGCAATGGCTCATCAAGTATTTATCAGACCATTTGAACACTTCTACAGGTCCTAGCATCATACCACTGCCAGAATTTACTTATTATAACCTGCAGTGAAAAAGCCAAGCATCCTGTAAAGCGACTGGTGCCTGAAATAGTAGGAGATCCCATATTAGTTTGGTTTCCTGCTTAAAGGTCAGATTTCTGGGCAGATATTGCTGCTAGAAAGTAAGATACCGTGAGAGGTCAAGGCAGCTGCATTTCGGGGCATTGTAAAGAACAGTTTCTCTTTCCTGCCATCCTGCCCCATGTGACACCAATCCTTTGATGGTGACAGGGGAACAGACTTACCTTGAGCTGGTGCCTCTGTGAGGAGAACTGAGACAAGGGAGCTCCTCACCTGGGGAAGGCAGCACAGCTCAGAGCTCCTCGCTAAGAGGCTCTGCTCAGCTCTGCAGGAGCAGGAGGATGCAACAGGAAAGACTCACCGAACACCCAGCATTTGAAGCCAGCCAAGCCTGGCCCCAGAGCCACACTGGCTCCTTCTCTGCAGCAGATGAAAGCTATACCCATGGGCTCTGAAGGTAAGGGAGCCAAACTTCGGAAGATGTACTTCTTGGAAGGTTTCTTGAAGCAAAACCTGCCATTTTGTATTTTAAAAAGAGGGGGGGATGGAAGGATAAGAGTTTTTCTTCCCTGAGCTAATCTGTGTCTCTGATTTGCTTCACTCATTACATGGAGAGAAGATCCTGTCAACACAGAAATAATGCCAAGTATTTACAGTTTAATGGAACCCAGGGACCAATTAACAACACAGAAAACCACCAGGCAGTGTATTTCTTATTGTAACAGGAGGGAAATCTTACATTACTGCTGTTCCCCCATTTCTCAAAATAAAGCACCAGCGCTTTGTCAATGATTTCTCAGTAGTAATGTTTATTATCTTGTAGTTTTACCATTGCCCATCATTTCCTATGTGCTAGGTTCAGTCACAACCCCCCTCTCTTTACTTGTAAACACCCATCCCAAAAAGACAAAAAGAAAAAAAAGAGAAAAATAAAAATAAAAAGAAAAAGCAACTGTCATGAGGACTTCAGACCAGTGATGTTAGAATCTGCCCTCAACCCCAAGTTCTCGAACTGCTGATTCTTCAATAGCTTGATGGATGCGATGCACCTCGTCCTGTGTTAAAGTCCTCTCCGGGTGGCGGTAAATGATACGGTAGCAGTGGCTGACCTTCTTTGTCCTACAAAATATAAACCAAAAGAGGACTCATAAATACACGTGCCTACAAATGCAAATACATGAGGCAAAACACTTACCCTCTGGACCATTTTTTATTTGAGGTCTAATTTTGTTCCTGTTGCTTGAAAATCACCTTAATGCTAAAATACACAGTCTGGAGAGGTGGGGCTGAGCTGAATTTTAATTTTGGCAGAGGACTTTGCTGAAGTCCACCTAAGACCTCAACTTGTATTGCAGTGTGGTAGCTTCTTACCAGAGCAAACAAACCCGGGAGGAGTGCTACGCTAACACCACCCAACTGCTGCTGACACCAGAGCTCTCTCATTGTGGTGCTAATGGGGTTACCTCGAGGGAGCAGTGTGCACACATAGCCCCCTCAGCCCACCAGGGATGGAGGTGATGGGCATAAGGAAAACACCGCACAACCTCTGTATGCCGCAGAGCAATGTTGCTAGCTAACATGGGGCATCTCGCAAGCCTCACCATCCAGGCTCCTGCCTGGGGCATGAGACTGAACATACAGCTGCAAAACAGAGTAAAACATTTATTTTTCAAATCAGGTCACTATTTCACCTTTGCTGGAAAAGAGAAACAAGGAAAAAACACATCTGAAGTCTCCATTTGTGGGAGAAGGACAGGGACGCAGGATGAGGGTGGCCATCACTCCCAAAACAGAGCACCAAATGCAGCCGAGGTGCAGGGGCAGCCCAGCAAATTCGGGAAGAAATGGGGTGAGACATGGCAGCAAGTACACATGGCAAAATTTCTTACTCCCTGCTACTATGGAAAGGAAAAGGCAAAATAAAACAGGGAAAAGGACTAGGGAAGAGGGAACGATGGGGAAAAAAGAAAGTATTTAAGAGTTGCTGAGCTTGGCAAGGACAAGGTAATACAAAACCAGGAGCAAAACAGTAAGTTGAATAAGAGAGTAAAACCCTCCTTGCTCTCCATCAAAACCAGGCTGGAGTACACAGCTCTTCCAAGGGGCACCTCTACAATTGCAGAGCTTGTGTCACTGAATTTAACTGGCAGTTGTGGCATCCTTTTTATTTTTAGTTTCAAATGGAACCCACACAGCTTCTTCTTTCAAAGGTAAACGCTCACTTCGGTTAAAGAAAGAAAATCTGAGGGGAAAAATAATGGGAAACCAGAGATCAAGTACTAGACAGACGGATCTCCCAGACTAGCACTTAGTGGCACACAAAGGCATTCAGAAAGCTTCAGGTCATCCGTCTCCTGAAAATTGTTTCATGTTAGAAACCATGTTTATTATGACTATTTGATTAAAACTGAGGTTATATGTGCTCACACACAAAGGTAACTCTCGCAACCTCAAATCCTACTAGAACCAGGGACAGGTAGTTTTTAGCTCATAATAGTTATTTGATACCAACTTTGACCCACCCAACGTGGATGGGAAGCTTGCCTTGCTCCCACTGGCAGTTTACAACAAAAAGGTTTCAAATTAAAGCATTCCTCCTTTTTCGTGTGCTCTGAAGATAAAGCAAGTTAAATCTGCCTACCATCGGAAAGGGCAAACTGCATTTCAGAAAATGTTAAGCTGACTGCAGTTACCCGCAAAAAACCAGCCAAGAGCTTTCCCTGGGGGCAGGTTAAACTGTAGAAAAGTGATCCTCAAGAAAAGAGGGGGGTGTGTGTAACTGTGCACCTCTGCAAAGCAGTCAAGAGGACAGACCTGGGAGATGCACGTAAGTGGAATAACAAGAGTTTGGCTAGATGCTACATTGTAAAAGAGAAATTTGAGTAAGAGAGAGTGATAACGAATTGGGGCCAAACAGAAACAATTTTCAAATCCAGGCTGGCAAATACCATTACAGCCAGTAGTATTTAATCTTTTAATGGTGCTTCAGCGACCCACCTGAACAAGAACATTTGCAAATTGCTTTGGCTGAAAATCTATTTAGAAGATGTACAGTCACAGCCCTGATCCTGAAGTCTTGTATATACTGGGAATATATCCCATGATGGAAAACTCATTGCCACCATTTAATGTGATGTAAACACAAGTTTGCTTAATGTATTTAAGCTGTGGTAGGGATAGCTACAGCACTGTTTCTTCACTGGTCATGGTTAACTGAAGGTAACGATTTCTCTTGACCCACATGTTCAGTTATCCTCCTCCCTCCATCCTAGTGAGCAGTTCATTCATGAGACAAATTAAATAGGTCAGAATAGGATGCAATAGTTTCTTGTGGATGTTGTGGAAAACCAGCATCTTTAGAAGGCATTTAAATTAGGAAAGGGTGGAGGTCTTACTGAGCAGCACTGGACTAGAGTTCTTTCAGCGGCAGCTAAGCATTGGTGCAAGAGAAATAAAACATTAAATGTAATTCATCTAATTTTAGTTATAGCCAAAAAATGATGTAACTACTAATATACATGGCTGGCTACATGTCACTCGTGGTTGGTATCTTACATTTTTCTCCCACCTCTTAGCTAGGTTTATTTGCATATTTGTTACTAATTAGAAAGGAGGAGTATAATGGTTCAATGCTATTTCAATAAAAGACACACTGCAATTTTCAAAACCTTAAGCACTATTTTCACAGTAGCATTAGCTAAGTTTTCAAGGTAGATGGGGAAGAGTACTTCTTGGGTCTTTCTCCCCCTAATAGCCCCCCCTCCCCCAATAAAATACTAAGACAATGTGATTAATCACTGCCATCAGCTGCAACTGGAAACAATTATTGTCGGCAAATAATACATGTTTGCTGATTCCCTTTCTTGCTTTCCTTTTGTTCTGCAGAGTCACAGGGTGTTTGCCTACCTTAAAGATGGCTCTGCTAATGCATAATGAACTCTCTCCTGCATGTCATGCTGCAGCCTGAGATACAGAAGCAGTAGCTGTCTATCCTGAGTAACAGAAAATTTGAGGCCAAAACCTAGAACAGCCACTTCACCAGGTTAAAAAAAAAAAGTAGAAGCTTAACAGTGAGCACATTGGCCTTTATTCACCTAAACTGCACCACCAGACGAGTCCATGCGGTTCGCAGTCACGCGGACTCCTCTCCCATTAGGCTTCAGCTGATCTTAGTGTCACAAGTCTCCTCTGCACCAGCCTGCGGCTTTCAGGTAATGAAGCGCAGTGAATACAGTGAAGCACTGCTCAAAGGGCAAAGGAAGATAAGGATTTATTCTGACGCTGCAGGAGGAAACAAGAACACAGTCCGTGGACAAACACTGAAGTGAAACAATGCCTAATGCTCTTTCATATGTTTTTTTGAGGAAAGAGCTTTTCCTCCTGATTCTCGGGACTTGGCACACAGCTGCCCCCACGTGCTAGGGAGCTGCTCACTTGCCAGGTCAGATTCACTGCATGGGCCCAACCTGAAGGTCAGTGTATATGTTTTGGTATTTCAGCCTGGTATCTGAGCACAGCAAGAAATTACGGGGCTTTAGTCTGCCACTAGTCTAATAAAACGAACAGGAAAGCAACCTGACACTGGGACCAGGGCTAGAACGAAAGGGTATGTTAGGCAATAAAAATTAATATCTGTGTGTTAGCTTTCCCTGCATGGAAGTCCACTAAAGGACGTTTTAAATACAACGTGGCTAGAAAGCTGATCCCAGAAGCTACCAACAGCAAAACACCTAAACATACTGGGGAACCTGTCTCAGTGGTTAGATAAGACTAAGACACAAGGTCATTTGGTAACCAAAATGTTGCCTGCAGAATAAATGGCTGGTATTGGCATTTGTCTCATCCACATGCAATACTGTAGCAAGAATGAAAATTTCTCCAATCTGTACCTGAAGAGGGAGATAAAAGGGGCAGCAGTCAGTGGGGAAAAAGACACTTTTAAACTGTGTTCTACTTCCCATCTGTCTTAAATAAAGCACGGAAGCACAGAGACTTCTGCAGGGAGGTTAGCCCTGCTCTTATGTGGTGAGGACAACGCAGAACCAGACGTTTTTCTAGAAAGCTGGATTTACTTTGAGGAACAGAATAGTAGAGAAGACAATCTCCCACAGCATCAAGGAGTGAAAAAGAGTACTATCTCTTTTGTACTCTGAGCAGTGCA